CGGTGGCGGCGGTCGTCACCACCGCACCGTCGCTCGCTGCCCCCGTGCCCGTGCCCGTCCCGGTGCCCGTGCCCGCGCCCATATCCGCACCACCTCTCAGTCAACCAACTGTCATCGCCAGCCAAACGCCGCCGCCGCCACTCACCGGGACTGCCTACGCCGCGAGAGACGCGTACCGCGCCGGCACTACGAACGTAGGTATTTCCATGACGCGAACCACGTAAACATGGGCGCGCGCGCGATGCGCTTCCTCTCGTCACCTTTCCCTCGGGGTCTATCGTCGGTCGGAGTCCCCCCAATACGATGACGCGAAGCGGTCACGGTCATGCAAACACGCCGGGAGCAAAAAGATTGTTTTCTTCCCTTGGATATGTATATGCGTTGAAATCGAATATATGCGATGAAAGATGAAAGAGTAGCGAGGCATTGAGAAAGTGTTACGTTCGAGAGGATTGAAATTGGTGCTTTCGGAGCGCTCATATTACCTTAATAGATATTTCAATATCAACCCGAACAACCGCGTGGCTAGGTCACTTTCGATCCATTTTTGAGGATTATATTTTCGGACGTGTCACAATTCTATTCTTAGTTCGTGATCTTTCCTTTCGCGACTGGTTTCTGTTATGATTTAAGAAGTTTTCTGTTATGAACGCTATTGATATTTATTCAAAGTAGTCTTTCTTTACAACGTCCAAATGAAACATTTTAATTTGTCTCATTTTTTAAATTTTACCTAAAAGAAACGAGACAAGGATTTTTTTTAAACGGACTGTCGGAGTGCCGGAATGAAAGTTTCGCTTGATATTCAGCTAATCGCTAGTATTTGGGTCAAGCTAGTGTAACGGGATAGAGATCAATATTAATTCGTAGCATCGGACGGTAGACTAATTGGGACACGCATCGCGCAACGCAATCGCACGCACGGCATATCGTGCGACCCCGTCCTTGACTTTCACCGATTATCGGCCCTCTTTCTTTTTTTTTTTCCCTCCCTTTTATAACAATACGATCTGCGCGTGCCTGACGCTCTGCAGTTTTAAATACGGCGTATCACTATGCTAGCACAGAATCAAGAGTCAAACTCATGTTCTTGTGTCAAACGTTCAAATGTGTTTTATGAATATGATAAATTATTCTTACGATAAAACTTTGATAGTGCACGAATATACATGCAATCAAAATTAGATTCCGTTATGATTAAAAAACAAAATTGGTACATTATATAAAATGAGGTATATGAAGGAAAATATTAAGTAAGAAGAAAGATATTTAGGTAACAATGTATGATTCTCCATTTTCTCTTCTATATTCAATAATTTTCATCACGATATATATTTAGTTATTTATAAAGTTGCTAAATTTTAACAAAAGTGACCTATTTCTCGTCTCATCAGAAAGTTTTAGAAATATTTTTGAAAAATAATCGAATATAATGACGCTACAACAATCTTTCTCTACTATATTACGTTTAATTTTTATGGGTTTTAAATTACGTTAAATTCATGGCATAACGGCGATTCTAGGCAGGCATTATCGTATTTAGCTCGTGGCATGATGCGAGTGGGCGGGGTGAAAGTTACAATCGCCCACTCTCATACTACACATACACGCGTATTACACGTGTACACAAGGACACAATCGCATCTTATTTTGTTTGTTTCTTCCGTACAATTCGAGTTGGTAATTTAGCCGCCGCAGTAGAGTAGTTTTTTTCATAATTATTACGGTACGGGGTCGAGTTTACGAACTTGTCTACGCGAATTGCCCGGAACGAGCCACGGCGAGCGAATGAACCGGCGTCGTAACGCAGAACTACCAGGCAGAAATAAAGGGGGAGGGGTGGGGGGAAAGTTGGAACAGATGATTGCGGGAGACAGAGCGTAGGGGACGAAGTAGCGGTCGCGTGGTATATCGGTACCGCGTGCTTTCTTGAACCGGGTCATCGATTTTCCTGAAATAGTTTCCGCGGCGAGAAGGTTAGAGAGGGACGCGGGAGATAAATTGAACCTCTGGCAAAGAAGTGAGTAACGGGGGGGGGGGGAGACGATAGGAAAAGGGGAAACTGGCAGGAAAAAGGGAAGAAGGGAAAGAAGGGAGGAATGTGGAGAGTAGCCTTTGACCGTGATGTTTTCTTTTCAGGTGAACGAGAGACTCGCCATCAACGTGAGCAACAGTTCTTTGTCGCAAGTTGGCGGAGTTGGCGGCGTCGGGGTAGTGCCCGCGGCCGAGTACAGCGGCATGGGGGCCGGCAGCAGAGGCGATCGGCCGAGGATATCCCTTCTGCCGCCTGTCGGCTCCTCGGTGACGCCTATACCGTCGCCTTCCGCCGCCGCCGCCGCGTCGGATTACCAACAGCACGCGGCGGCGGCGAGGAACCCGCCGCGAGTAGGCCTCATGCCCGTCCAGTCTGATCAGTATTGCAGTCGCACCCCTGTCGACATGTCCAATCTGCAGCAAGATGCGCCGCCCTTCAAGAAGATCCGTCTGGGGCCGCATCAGCAGGTCCAGCAGCTGCAATCGCAGCCACAACCGCGCTGCTTATCGCCCGCGGACCCATGCGGGGGTAAGCAGGAGCAACAACAACATGTTGTGCAGTTGCAACAGCCACTCAGGATAGATACCAGGGTGGGTACCAGGAAGGAATTAGGTCTGCTCGAGAATCGAAAGCTCAGTTCTTTGATAATTATGATATATTCTGATGTATTTAATAAAAATAAATTAATTTTTATCATCGCTAATACAAAAGTGTATTTTAAATTTAATTTGTTGCTTGATTTGAATCTTCTCATTTTTCTATGATATAAAATATTTTGTATTTTATATTAAAAAAATCAAAATATTAGAGTAATAATATTAGTTTTTCGCGAGAGTGTATTAAATAAATAAATAATCGAATCACAATTCATTACATTTATAGAGTCTGGATGTAAATTGAGATTTATTTACATTTTCCGAGATAGCTATGCGATAAATTAATATGTAATTAAATATAGGATGATTTATAAATACGTACTTTAGACGAGATGAATCGGACACTAACTAAACAAATAATTGATAAACATAAATTAAACATAGATTAAATATGCGAAATACGATGAAACAAATAAGTAGAACAAAATATGATATGATGAATTTTTGCTAGGAGCAGCCTGCTGTTGGTGCGTATACGCCGCAAACGGAAGCCATTTCGCCTACGCTTCCAGAGACGAATACGCAAGAGGATGCACAATATAGAAGTACGAAAGATGATCTCTTGCAACAAATAGGTAAAGTCGATAGAGAAATCGCAAAGAGGGAAAATCAATTGAACATGTTGCGGAAGAGATTAAAAGAATTGGAAGAAGCGGCGAATAAGCCTCTGGAAGTCAAGGACACTGAGGAACAGTCACAGCAACCAAAGCATCAATCGATGGCGCAAAAGGTCTACGCTGAAAATAGGGTAAACTATAAATAATCATCGAATACTTTTATATATCAAGTACCGGAGATATTTGAATCGCGCTTGACGTATGTCAATAGAGCTTATTTTTGTTTGTCAAATATTGGTGAGATTTTCATATTTAAAGCACAAAGAAAAATAGATAAATAATACGAATTGAATTTTAATTTGACATATTTTTTGATAGAGAAAAGCAGAGGAAGCTCATAGACTCTTAGAAAGACTGGGCCCCAAAGTAGAACTACCTTTATATAATCAACCGTCGGACACGAACGTGTACCAAGAAAATCGCACGCGGCATCAAACATGTATGCGAGTCCGGCTCATAGCTAGGCTCCGAAGAGAACATGCCGAACGTGCGTCACTTCATCGGCAGCAGTCACAAACATATGCCATTTTGGTTCAAGAGTGGCATCGTAAAGTGGAACGGCTGGAGGCAACGCAGAAAAGAAAATCGAAGGAGACAAAAAATCGGGAATTTTTCGAGAAGGTGTTCCCCGAGTTGCGAAAACAGAGGGAAGATAAAGAACGTTTTAACAGAGTTGGTGCTCGCATCAAGAGTGAAGCCGATCTTGAAGAGATAATGGATGGTCTTCAAGAACAAGAGGTATATTATGTTATTGTAGTATACATTTGTAAGCAAAGCGGTCACGAAATGAGTAAAGTGACACATTCTGAAAGAAGAAAAAAATATGATGAGGATATAAAAAGATGGTATAGGGAGAAGCAAAAGAAATGCACGTTACTAAATTTATACTTAAACTGAACTGAATCTATACTTAAACACTTTTAAACTGAAGTGAAACATAAGCAAGAGATTTTAAAAAGAATAATAAGAGAGAGAGAGAGAGTTTAAGAGTTTTTATTTAATTTACTAAAGCAACGATTTTAAGTTTCTGATTATTTACTAGAGTCATCTTAAATCATGATGTCGTAAGCGAGAGACAAATTGAAATTGCTTGCGTGCCATTTGTCAAATAAAGAGAT